GGTGCATCACGATTGGGACGGGGTATTAAGCGAACCGCAAACTATAAAAAAAAACTCGAACTATCTTGAATTGATTCGTCCACCAATGATCAATTTTATAGACCTTTTACTACAAATAACTTTCATTGCATCGATTCAAAACTATCGTTACCTGGGCGATGGGCTGATGCCTGTCCGTCGGAATTATTACGAAATCATAGCAGACTTGAGTCGCTATTGAATGTACTTTCTTTGTGTTTTTCTTTTGTTGTTGTTTGCTAAATACATTGGTTATCCTTGAGACCAGGCACCGTATTGAATGAAAGATTACACGGCGAGGACATCGCCCAGGGTCTAAGTAGTTTCTTGTACTGTACGCGCCAATGTGCTAGTCACGTTGATTGGGCAAGGGGTTAAAAAATAATATAAGTTGAAAATATGCCGTTATCAGTCCTGTCTGTGTTTATAGAAAAAAATCGTCAAATATAAAGTTACAATTTATAGGCAGTTCGGCTATGCGACTGCAATGATGTCAATATTTCGATTGACCAGATATTTCTGCGTAGTAAACGTCTTTAACAGTTGCATTTTTGTTATTTTAAATGTGCTTGATTCCCATTTAATGGGAATTTAAATAGGCATTTAGGGCTCATACCACTAATTGAATTTCCATAGACGACAATGTTAACAAATGACGAGATTACTATATAAAAATAATAAACGAAGTTGAAAACATGGCTAAAAAATGGGAAATCAACATGCCAGTAATCAACCACATAAAAAAAACTAACATGTTGGCCAGCTCAAACTCTTACAAATCTCAGGTAAACAAGACACACCTACTGTATTTGGATTGCACCTAGAGTAATCACTGGAAAACACCAAGATTAGAACATCCAAATACACACTGAATAAACCCACAGGTACACAGCCGCTAAGTAGTAAACAAAAGACCACATGTTGGTCTCACCTTTGACTCATGTGATTACGCCCTCAAACAGAGAGCGCCTGAGAAAAAACAAATATTTAAAAAATTTCATCGGTTCTTCCAAGGCATTTAAATTGAGCAGCCATTGGTTGATTTGTGGCATGAGACCTTCAGACTGGACTAGTACTTTCAAGTACATGAGTGAGTGCTGTCCATACGAATTTCGTGCTGGAGACAAGGACAATAATAGTACGCCAAAATAAAATATGCTATGAAAGCCGTGAATACATCACACGTGCGTAAGTGTCGTCTTTTCGTTATTATTGGCAGTTGGATGTTGCATATGGTACTTTGTTGCATAATGATCTACTTCTGAATATTCATGATCTCGAACACGATATAGTACGAAAGCCAGTGGTCGACATCGATCAAGTTCCGTGCAGCTCGGGTACATGCTAATCGGGTCAATGTCCGTTCTGAGGTTTGAGTTAGAATTTGACGGAACGTGGCCATAAACTAGACATTAATCAGACAGTAGATGCTATAAATCCGGCAATGACTGGTATATTTTGTCATACAATGCTGGATTTGTTTTGATAATGTCATTTGACGTCACTGACAGCACATCCTATTAGCTGTCAGTCCAAAAGCTGAAGTGTTCTGTTACTGTTTATATTTTTAACCGCGTTTCGCAGTATAGCGGTCAACTATTGTCTGTTCGTGATGGCAAACAGACGGGTATATGTGGGGTCTTGTGATAAGGGGTATTTAAGTAGTGGAGAGGAGGTTGAATATTAGCCTGAGTCTAGACCAGTCTCGCTACAGTGCAGTTTTCAACTGGTTGTTTTGTAAGTTTATTAATGTTTTTTGTATAATACAGGGCGACACCAGTCACCTTCACCTGGGCACGTTCGACAGTGCGACGGGTACAGGTTTCCAGGTATTTTTTGTCCCCAAATTGTTTTTTATTCCTGGTTTTTCCTGGGCGGTCGGCGTGCCAGTAACGGGGGTTACTATTTTTGTCGTGTTTTTGTCAGTTATTTTAAATGTTTCTTTGCCGAGTAATGTTAGTGGCATTTGCCGAGCATCAATAGTCGATTTTTTTTTTGCAATCCATGCAAGGTATTTTTTCTCGCATTTAGTTTATTTCAATCTGAACACTACATGCAATGTAATGGCAGCCGTTTTAGTCGGCTTTTTTAGTGTGTTTTGTTAAATAAATGGTTCGCCGGACCGACTGCACATACGTGGCCGCACCTGGCATGAACCTTACCTTATGTAAGTGTGTGTTGTACATTGTCGGATGTGACGAGTCTAGTAAAGACATGTATATACATACACCGTCTCTCAACGTTGAGGGACGGTGATACGTATAACCAGACAGGAGACAGTGATTAGCATTTCTTTAACTTTTTCTAGGGACAGGCACCAAGACAATAGTACTATAGTAGTTATTACGTATAATCTGAAATACAATACAAATCTTGTAATACTGTATTCAGAACAGCGTTTAGACAGTTACAGGGTCCTGAATGAACTTCACGACCTGGTACAACTTCAGAAATCTGCGAAAAACGCCACCAACGATACACAAAATGCCATGTTAAACTCAAACATACATCCACCACAACCTCATGAGCTTTGTAAACCTAAAATATATGCTAATAGCTGCAATGCAACGATAAAATAATTCGTCTTACATTTACCTGGACGGCGATATTCGGTATACCTGGAATATTGTATCCTCATGAACTTGAAAACATCATGATTATGGCATGATTTATCCTCACGAAACAATAATTATGTTTTAACTGCAAACATTACAACATTCGTTCGATTGACGACAAATTGAAACACGAGTATATAAAGGTAAATTCGGGACGCATGTGTATTTGACTTGTTGAGTAGTTCGTTGAACAAATGCTGCTATAAAGTTTGCTGCCAAAACAAGGGTTTAATTTTATCAAAAAATCACACACTGATATATCAAATTTTCAAGATGCAACATCGAATAAAAAATATTTAAAAATTCCCACAATGTTATTTACATAGCCTCTTTAAAAGTGGCAACATTCGAGTGAGCATGCGCATTGAATACTCAGTATTACACGAAAATAACGTTACCGACTAAAAACATAGACATGTTTATTATTTCATCTCAGGCAATACAAATTCGTCATTTTTTACACAATTTGATGGTTACTACAAAAAGGACCCGTGCCACGACAGACAATAATATATTCATGGTTATATACAAAAAGGCATTTTTACGGAAGACTTTGACAAATTACAAATACTGAATCCAACGCATGCGCACACTGGGCGTATTGCTCGTGCTCGGGACATTAAAGTCACGTGTTTTATATTGTACGTTGGCGTGTCGTGGACAACATACGTGGTGGCAAACAGGTGTGAGGTCAATTATCCAGTTTATCAAATCAATGAAGATCCGGTATTATCGTTTTCCCCGGCTTGCAATACGTACCTTATTTACAAATATGTAAATAAACTATAATGTCACGACAAAGTCTAAATTTCAGCTTTCTTTTTTTCCTTCTTAAACGTTTACAGACTGAGATG